ATATAAATCTTCTGGTCCTGATGTCATGTAACCCATGCCTGCTACAAGAGAGCACGGGCTTAATATCTGGGCCACAAGTCAGATTACAGAGAGCAAGTCTCTTACTTGCTCACATACCATCAACACGGAATGAAGTCAAAGTGGCCTTTATTCCCAAAGTGGGCAAAACTCGGCACAACACCCAAAGGCGTATGACCAATTAGACTTAGATCCTTTCTAGAAAAAACATTACAACTGATAGACTTTCATATTACAGACAACTTTCTCCAGGTAATACTACTATTACTGCAATACATATTCTAACTCAAGTTATGGAAAAGGCATTGCAGTACAAACAAATAACTTTGTGTGCATTTCTTGCCATATCACACGCTTTCGACAATACCAGGCACAAAACAACGCGTGCAGAAAACAACACTCAGACTACATGCCTTGTACTGTTCTCACGTCCCTTTTAACCTATTTTAAATCTTCACGATTTACGAATAAACCTAAGCAGATTGTTAGTTGCTAAGAAGCTCGTTCGTGTTCGTTTCTCAACACATCGCGGTCAAATGTCTCTTATCTAATTCTTGCAAAGGCGGGACACAAGTACAGATGGTCAAATGGAGTTGTTATGTACGACTATAACAGTCAGTGACCACATGAAGTGACCAGTCCGAAGTTCAACTTATCCGCAGTCCCGTCTGCTCCATGAGAACAAAAAACTAGATAGACCTGCTGAGATTGATGACAGCATGAATTTTGCCCACCTGTAGCCCCTCGATGTCACCCAGTCATTTCTCAGCGCAATATTCACCCAGTTTATGATGGTGGCTTCGATGGCCGAAGTGAGGGGTGCTATAGCTGGTAGCGGGCCGAGGAATGCCTGCTCTAATCCAAATGGTCAGAAGCGTCATTATCAGGTATTTCCGAAGGACCTGACACCCAGAGTAAAGCAAGCCCGTTATAGTTGCATTGCCGAACTAGTTTGGAAGCATTTAGTTATGATAAGGAAGGATATTAGCAGCCTTCTAACGGACTGGATCATAAGCAAGTTGAAATACAGAACTATGGTAGCGGAACTAGGAGGCAGTAAGAAAGCAGTAACTGTCAACAGTGGCTATCTTTAAAGGGAGCCTTATCACCCCTACTCAAGACACTAGTTTAGACGAACTCCTGTAAAAGCTAAACGGCAAAATACAAAGCATCTGGATATACATACAACGTAGTCATCTACGTTGTTGGCTGGCATGAGGACACAGTTTGCTCCAGATTGCAAGCTGCGCTTAGATTAGGGGAAGACTGGTTTGCAGCAAAGGTATTGACAACAAACCCACTGACGCCCGTTCTCCTATTCACCAAAAGAAGGACAGTCAACTTGACTTCACCCACTTTGGCATGGACAGAAATCGAGTTCTCAGAAGAGACGAAGTATCTAGAGGAAGCTCTGAACGAAAGATTAAAATCGAACTCACATCTCTCGAATGTTACCTTCAAGGTTAGAAAGGCCTTTTATACCTGCCAGAGACTTCATTGCAACACTTGGGAAATATCACCCAAATTAACATATTGGTCTTTCAATACGGTCGTGCAACCCAGCAAGCACATGTCCTCTGTCTATTCTGACTGTAAAGGAGGCCTGCTGGAGCATCCTACGACTGCCCAAAGAAATAATCACGAACGGTGGAGATCTTCGTGGTCACTTGCATGTTCTCAAGCTATTCTTGGATGATCTTGGCGGAAGGCTTCGCAATTGAAGTCCGAGTTCGAGAATGTCATCGTATAACTGCAAGTTTTGTGAGCTGGTGGAGGAAACCTCAGAGCATATTCTGTGTGTATCATGAATCGTAGACTGCTACGCCTTAAGCAACGATTATCTTCTCCATCCAAAATTTGGAACATGGCATCCACCAATGTGCTTAATTTCTTAAATATCCTAAGGTTGGAGTGACTACAATAAGGGGTTAGCACAATAGATTTTTTTTTAGGTCGCATCCAGTTTCAGTTTTTCTTATACATAACATTTGTTTTTAAAAATATTTGTCGAAAGGAACACTTCAGATGATATACGAGTTTAGACCTTCAAGGCCGCCTTAAAAATGCTTAATCATTGTATCAACGGCTAGGTATTTTCATGTCGATCCAACTAACGTAAATCATAATATTTTAAAGTCGAAATGTAATAAACTTTATATTTCCGGTAGAAATTCATCAACCTTTTCTTGGTGACACACCCAAATATACATATGTACATATATTTCTTATACGTTGCGGGTTATTGGGTGTTAGTTCTCGAAGATGATTCAAAAAAAATACGAAGTAAAAATTACTTGGTTTTTGTTATTTTTTTTTAGTACATTTTTGTGGAAAAGAAAGTTTCACGCTACAAAATTTCGCCAGATTTTCGTTTTTTTTTATTAGATTAAGTGTGTAGCATTAGGGTGGTCCAAAAAAGCATATGAAAAAGTAAATTGGAAAATCTAATGCCCTCACCCCTTTGGATATTTCTATATCGAAAAAATATACTCCTGTTTTTTTATTTTGAAAACGAATAACATTTCGAGGTCGCTCAATGCGCTCAAAGTTTTGCATGTATTTTATATCGAGAAAAAACCGGTTTTCGTGGAAATGGTATATAATTCTTAAAAATATATATTTTTCGTTCGCAGAAGTCTCTTTCTCTTCAGGAGACTTCCCAAATAGTACCAGATTGTTTTTTTTACCATTTTTTATACCCGAGCGCACTTGTGCACAAGGGTATTATAACTTTGTTCAGAATGAATAAAGAAGTCGATTAAGCCATGTCTGTCTGAGATATCTCAACGAAATTCGGTATGTAGGTTTTCCTTTACACAAGGTAGGTTGGTATTGAAAATGGGCAAAATCGGACTGTTATCACGCCTACTTCCCATATAACGGTATTTTCGAAAAATGCAAAACTACAATATTTCAGTAAATATTGGATCCAAATTGTTGAAAATTAGTATGTGAAGTCAAATTTTGGTAAAATTAGTATTATTATGAAATTTTTGAAAAATGGGCGTGACCCCGCCCACATATGATGAAATGCTGTATCCCGGTAGCCGCTTCATCAATGCTGACTGACCTGACTGAACTGATTCATCAATTCGGTGCACTTAATAACCTTAGTACAAAGAAGAAACTGGTTGCAAATTATTCAAATCGGTCTAAAATTACACCCACTTCCCGTATAACGGTAAATTTCAGACATCCGAAAACTCCGATATTTCAATGTGGACGCTAATATACTCCAAGTTAATAGTTACAACAATCCCCTAACAATAAAAAAGACTGCTATAGACTTATAAGAATTGGGCGTGGCACCGCTCACCTTATGACTACAAGGTGTATGACGGTAGATTACCTATCAAACTTGGTTCAATTATTTCATTAACTCTAATTCAGCATATTTTCGAAAAAGTTTGAAATCGGGAAAACCCCTCCTGCTTATCATGCAAATGTAGTTTAGAGAAAGTTGAAACAACGATATTTGATACCTACGACGGGTATATGAGTTCGGTTTCGCCCGAACTTATACTTCTTTACTTGTTATTACTAGCGATTTTTTATGGCTCCCTCATTGCGGCATTGAGTTTTTTAGGGGTCTTATGAAAAATAATTAGTAATAGAAGGCGGTTAAATAAACAATTGGGTATTGTTATTGGAAGTAGCTTGAAGAGAAACAAAGTTTTATGATCGAAAAATATTGATTTTCTATAATTATAAACCATTTCTACGAAAACTTGTTTTTCCGCATATAAAATACATGGAAAATGTTGAGCACTTTGAGCGACCTCGATTTGTTTTTTGATTACAAAATAAAAAAACAGGGGTATCATTTTTCGGTACAGAACAATCCTGGACCATCCGAGTGTAACATGCACCCAAAACCGATAACCCCAATTAAAGCAGAATAAGCAATGAGCATCTGATGTTTAATAATAAATGTAATACCAACCATCTATACTCAAAGAATTCAAGATCTATCAGTTTGACCACATTCCACATAAAAACATTTAGTAAAAATTTCGACACTCACATCGGGGACACACTGAGGCCACAAAACTGGCCAAAGCGAAAAATGTGACAACATGCGTACACCAAAAGCATTATATTAATTGTAGTATTCTTTTTCTAATATTCTATATATATTTCCAAACTTTAAAATACTTTTCTGCTTTTGCTAAACTTTTCCTACAGGGAATGCGTCTGTATGAATGATACAGTCACCTACATATTTCAATGAAATAATGTAAGCTCATTACTGATGTTTGCATTGGCGTACTCTCGCTAACCCATTGATACAGTTATTGAAAACAGGAAACAGGTTTTTCAATGAGCCGAAACTTATAGCTTAATAAAATGCATGTGACTTGGCAAATAAAAAGTGTTGACAAAAAATTCTGTTGTAGCAGGCGCAGACGTTGGTTTGTATTTAAAGTAAATTTGCAAGCAGGATTAGGGGGTTTGGGGCCCTTGAAATAAATATGTAGCAATAGTCTTGAACCAAAAATTGTGTCTTAAAATACTTTCAAGATCATCCCATTCTTGAGTCTGTGCAGGAAATGGGTTGCATATACTTACAAAAGTACATATGTACATATGTACATATGTATGAATTCCACTGGCATGTTGCTCCACTGCGTAGAGAGATTCAAGATATCTTTTTATATTTTTATGTGCAAGATATTTTTGTGCAGGAAAGTGACTCCATACCCACTTAATTCGTGGCTACGGCTTGATTTTAGATTAGATAATTAAACAAAAAATTTTAATTGCTTTGACAATTATATCTAAGCACATTTATTTAGCTCAACCTCTCGATTTTTACGGCATACGCGTGCCTGAGCCTTTAGACTAACCAGACATTTTAGATTTATTTATTGACACTTTAGAACACCTGCTGAATTACTATTAATGTTAATATTGTTGCGCTCATGTTTCTCCTATATTCAACACAAAAGCTAAAATTTAATAATTTATTATTTATAACTCACCTTTTTCGCATTGAAGCCGAGAAATGATAGTTTTCGCACGTTGTCCCGTGGTCCGCTTGGTCCGCTAAAACTCATTTTGCCAGCGAACAAAAGCCACTTTTACGAGTAATTTAAAAGTATAAATAACAAAAACAACAAACTAGAAAGTTTTAACAAAAATACGATTTTTTCTAATTTTTCCTTTTCTTATTTTCTTTGGAATTTATTATTTAAGTTACGGTGCTACAGCAGACTTCCAGAATTCGTCTTTAAAAAATCTCGGCATTCGGGCTTTTTGCTTTCTTTAGCTAGCATATCTGCAATTAGAATATGAAAAAATAAGTTAGATATCGGTTGTTTAAAAAGTTTCTTGTATATGTGGGTAGTGTACTGATTTACCTAAGTAGATATGCACATACATACATATAAATACATATCGTTACCTTAATATACAAAAGCCCTATCTCACACGTCGCTGAAATACAAAAGGAAGTAACTAAGTAAAACTCCAAAATTCTCATTTTGATTGATTATGATGCATTTCATCGAATTATTAGTCCCCACATCATTTTAAGCAACAAAAAAATTTAGTCAGTTACGGCGTTTTTGCATTTCAGCGACTATATGAGTTAGGGGCTTTCTATATTAAGGTAACGAAATCAGGAAAATTTGTATTCGTAACTCAAGCAATTAAGATAAAAAAAAACAATATGGGTCAAATCATGTCAATTCATGTCAATATGGTCTCAATTTTGGGGATAAATAATTGCTTTAACTTGTTAAACAATTTGAGTTTACAGGATTGAGAGATACAGGATTAAAAATTTTAAATTTTAATCAAAATTTAAAAAAATGGTAAATTTTAATGCAATGAATAAAAAATATATTTAAAAATATGTTATATTTTCATTATTTTCCTAAATAGTATGGGATTTTAGCTTACGAAAGAAGAAATAAAAACCTGCTAATTTTTTGCACTTCTTGAAGTAATGCGTTTTTTTTTGCTAATGCATTTTCATTTTTAGTCAGTGCCATCACGATTGTACGATTCGTTCTATTTTCAAAAATGAAGTGCCAGATTAAAAACCTTGACCTGTAGACAAAAGAGGGTTATATTTTTTTACAGAGTTACCACCCCTTAAAAAACTAAATTCAAATTTTTTAATAAGTTAAATGAATTGTTAAGAGATACGTATCAATCGAAATGTGTATGAAGTGGGTTTCTTTCTTAACAACATGTAGAGGGGTTGCCACCTGTTAAAAAAATCTATTTCCATTGGATTTAAAGGAATTAGGTTATTGAAATAGATAGGTATAACTATATGGGAGTCAGACGAAAGAGGTTTGAAGGTTTTAGCTTGCAAATATTACGAAGGGGATGGCCACCTGTTTGTAAAGTCAAATTTAGTTTAACTAAAATAATAATTGCGTCAAACGAAAAGTTTACTACATCGTATTTTTTATTTTATGGCAAATACAGGGTGTCCCAGATGTAACCTGCCAAACTTGAGGAGAAGGCAGGTTGGGTGGTGAGCTCCCTCATAAGCAAAAATTTTTCAGGTAAAAGTGTCACCGTTTTTGAAATATTTACATTTTTTTGAATTAAAGAAAAATCGTGCCTTTTCATGTATTTTCTTAAACTGCATCTACAAACAAGGCTAACTTAGTAAATTTTTTATGTAAAATACTTCCAGATAGTTGCTTCTCCATATTCAAATGCAATGTAGTAAAAATATATTAAGGAACCTTTATAAAATTAGGACTATTTTGGGATTTTTTACTTTTTGATATTTTCTTCCCCAACTTTGACTATCTCTGGTGAAAAAAAAATGTACTGAGCTACTTACATTACATAAAAAAATTGCTCATTTAACAAATATTTCAGAAATGTGCCACCCTTACTATTTCAAATAGAAAAAAAAAAGTTGTAGCCGCTTTTGTGGGTAAAGGACTGAGACGCGCTAGAATGTATTTAATAGATTTAAATTTAAGTTGCTCTTATTACTAACCAATGACATGCTAAATAGTACAAAGGTACATTATTACATGCTCCTGACATTATTTTATGTTACTTACGCATACATAAATGCTCAAACTGCATTTACAGTGAAGGTATAAAAGTTATCCAAAAACAAATAGCAATTTTGAATTTAGCGTCCTCAATTTTACTTAGAAGCGAATTTTCATTGAAATCTGTCCACAATTCTATTTTTGCCCACATTTCATATGGAAGGGAAGCACAGTGACGCGAATACGATTGTTTTACATTTCAATATAATATAAGTAAGACCATAGATTAGGCTGAGTTAAGCCGCTAGCCTCGATTATGTTGATTTAATGGTACTATGTATATGAAATACTCAAGGATTGGTGGAAAATATGTAGAGTAGGGAGGCGGCCGTAGTGGTGTAGTGGTGGTTTGTTGCGCGCTACTACTCCGCAGGGTCTGGGATCAAGTCGGGCTCAACACAACATAACGGTTGTATGTAACAGCTTAAAGGAATCGAGATAGATATAGACAAATGTATAACTACATAAATGATCAGAATGAAAAAAGAAGTCAATTAAGCCATGTCTGCCTGTCCGTCCGTCTGTCCGTGTACAAGATAACTCGAGAAAAATTTGAGATATCTCAACGAAATTTGGTACGTAGGTTGCCCTTTGTCCAAAGTAGGTTACTATTGGGCGAAATCGGACTGTAGCCACGCCCCCTTCTCATATAACGATATTTTCAAAAAATGCAAAAACTGCGATATTTCAGTAGAATTTTGGTACAAAATAATATTATTATGAAACTTTTGGAAAAGGGGCGTGACCACATCCACTTATGATGAAATACGGTATCTTAGTGGCCGCTTCACCAATCCTTACCAAACTCGGTACGAGCATAGCTTATGGTCAGGCTAAGAAACCTGCCGAAAATCTTTGAATTCTGACAATAACCACGCCCACCTCCCATATAATTGTTATTAGCAGAAACACGAAAACTGCGATAAAACAGTAACTATTGAAGCTAATTGAATTGAGATCAATGATTGCAAGTACCACCTAGCATAAAATGAGATTATTATAAATTTTTGGACAATGGGCGTGGCGCCGCAACCTTATGACGACAATGGTGTATCTCGGCATCCGATTTATCAATTATTACCAAACTCGGTGCACTTAATAACCTTGGTACGGAAAAGCAATTCGTGCAAATTATTCAAGTCGGACTAAAATTACAGCCGGTTCCCGTTTAACGGTAAAATTCATATATACGAAAACTCCGATATTTCAATAACTGAGGACTCTGATTTACTCCAAGTTAGTACGTAGAACAACTAATAAAAATAAGGCTGCTATACAGTGTTACCGTTGAGAATTTTCAGAAAGTCGCAAAAAAGGGGTCATTGACGAAAAAAGGGGCGCCATATTATTTTTGCTTTATGAACTAGTAAAAGAATAAATCGTATGAATTTAAAAAGAAAATAGTGGGACAAGCTTTTCACAAAACAGGGTTGCAAACATACACATAAATCGAAAAGAGTTACATTTCCTTTAAGAGTTGTAAGTGATGCATTTTTTCATACTTACAGGAGGAAATATTTTTTAATAGCATGGCTCTGTTAATATTTCCTAAAAAAATCTCTGAAAAGGGGCAAAAGTCGCACACAATTTTGGAAAAGGGTAAAAAAATCAAAATTTTCAAAAAGTCGGGTCAAAGGGCATTTTCGCTTAAAAACGGTCAAATTGCCCCTTTAGTCGCACAACGGCAGCACTGCTGCTATATGCTTTTAGGAATAGGGCGTGGCACTGCCCACTTTATGACGACAATGGTGTACCTCGGTTACCACATTATCGAATTCTATCAAACTTGGTTCAAATATATCATTAAGTCTAACTCAGCATATTATCGAAAACGTTCGGTTTCGTCCGAACTTATACTTCTTTACCTGGTTAAATTTAAATTTAAATCTGATAACTCGACATATTATTGAAAACTACTCACCCATAGTAGTCGTATAGTTATCGCCAAGTGGATTAATGTTGCAATATAAAGCCCCAAAGTCATTTTTGTAAGCTTTTTTCGGAATAAATGCAGCATTTTTCTGATTTTGTCTAGGTTCTATAAGACTGATTTACAAGGAACTATCTTGAAAATATACCAAGAAACTCACCTTTAGGAGAAAGTTAGTAGGGACTTCCTGAGCTCAAAACGCATTCTTATATTTACATACTTTGTCCAATTTTTTTTAGATATCTAATGGTATATTTTTGGTTTTCGGGCTCATGACTAAACTGGCCCAAACAACACCGAAGCTACCAATTGTTTTAATCGGACTTGCTGAGTAATAGCTGCAATAAAATACTTTAAAACTTTGAATATTTCGTGGATGTGTTTATTTTGTACGCAGAGCAAAAAAAAAGTGGTGTCATCTACAAAATTAAGATTTTGATATTTTAAGGGCCACCCTATGTAGGTACATATATGTATAAAAGAACATCTGTAGACGGTTAGAATGTTTGACGAATCCTAAAACACACCTATGTACATATGTGCATATGGGGTATTCCATACCAAAACGGACGGGGTTCACACTTCGTGTGTTTGATATGTTTCAAATTTTTAGGGTTGATGCATAAACAAAAATAATAAATAAATATGAAATTTGAGCTTGATAAATACATATTTAAAAACTTTACAGCACAAAATCAAAAACAAATCGATTTAATAGTTTTCCAAATATCTCGAGAACGGGGCAAGGAAAAAATTAAAAAAAAATTACACATACACACATCAAAATTCTCTATGAAAGAAATATTTAAAAAAATTTTTTCCTGAAAAATTTTTCACATACATATTTTTTGGTAAAAAAAATAGTTTTTGAAAATATGCCATTTCAAAAAAAAAGTTAAAAAACTCACAATGGTAGCTCTGAGTATTGCGCAATATTTAAGT